CTGCGTATCTTCAGTGCTTTCATCTGTGTGACACGTTCCAGAGACACACGGTTTATAACAGCCGCTTCCTTTATCGAGAGCGCTCTGCTGATCGGGACACAGCGGCCTCGTCACTGCCAGCTTGCTACCTTCGTTCTTCCATCTCATTTATCAGCGCAGCAACTCACTGTTATGCTTTTCTTCACCCCTGCTTTTCTACTTCTGCTTTCGCCTCTTCCCCCGTGAGGTGCCATTTTGTGCATGTTTTTAATCGGAATAAATGTGTTGATTGCGCTCTTTTCCCCACGGGATGCACAAACGGAGAGCTCAACTTTAAATCATTCTGCCGTACGTTACTGCGGCAGCGTGAGTTACACCTTGGACTGTAGCACACTGCTTACAAAGCTGAACGCTGATTTATTTACTAATCACTGCTTTGTGGCATATAATAAAAAGAAGGATGCAGAACTCTTACAACACTGGCCTGAAGCAATGCAAAGGGCTCATTCCTTCCCTCACCTCACTCGATCCTTGCCTGATCTCCTCTGGTGTCTCTTTCTGTACCTCACCCATTCCCTGGTAGCAGCGGGCGCCTACGCAAAGGCAAGGACCTTGACGGTGCCTTGCTGTGCCATTTGCATGAACACAGAGAACAACAAGAAAACAAATACCAGTGAAAATAAAAAAGCAGAGCCACGACCAAACACAGTGTTTGGTGGCTGCTGACTTAAAATGTAAAACGGAATTTTTATCACAAAAACCCCCAAACTTCCTACCTACCCATAAGTTCCTTAACAAAACTGAAAGTTCTCTGCACAAGAACAGGAGCTCCTCTGGAGCCGGCCAGCACAGCAGGCCAGTTCAGCCGCTGGACTTTCAGGATGTGGCACATTTTCAGTGAAAGAACGACGCCGTCACCTTCTAACGGGGCACACAGTCATCCTCGGGCACCAACTGGGAGAGGTACCCTGACCTACTGAAAGAGCAGAGCGTGGCCATGTTTAAGGCAACAGATTTTCAAAACTTCTTTATCTCTCTTTCTCTACCATTAATGATCAACAAAGAGTTACTCAGGCAGATATTTTTCACTTATGTATGCAAGTTCCTTGTTTATTCTTAAGCAAAACTAATTTAGCAAAGAACAGAACAGCAGGGTGCTTTTGTACTAAGTCTGTTCCCCCAAATAGCAATACTTGGCCTAATATTCTTATTTTGCTGATGGAAAACAAGTTTAGAAACTACTTTGCCACTTTTTTTTTTTTTTGGTGCCAGTGAGAGCTGCAGTTTGAGTGCTGGTGTTGAAAATTAAACTGCAATTCTTTTGCTCATAAAATGGCTGATATGTTCACTGACACTAGTTCCTTACACGGCAGTGACTATAACGCATTGTTAATGTAAAAACCACTGCAATGAACTTAGTGTTCTTTAAAGAACGACCAAGCTTATACCCTGAAAAAACACGGAATGTGGAGAACAAGATAGTCTTAAATGTAATGTCTCTTCCAATTTTAAGTCTGGGTTGGGGGGGAAAGCATTTTAGAAAGATCCAGGGTACGCTCACCAGATAAGCTGCCTAAATTCCTATGTTGTCCACAGCAACATTAGCTCAAAGCCCCCAAACCCACAGCCGTCTCTGCAGAAGCACATGTACGTAAGGCAGTAGATCAGCTTGGCAGACACCTGCGTTCCACTCTGCATGCCAGGAACGGAAACCTGAACATGAAAGAAGGGGATGAAGACAAAGCCCAAACCTTCTGTGGGCACCCAGGATCACGGACACGATCTTTTCAGTGCTTCAGACTCGCTATGCAGCGCATCCGTGTGTGGTTCGCTGACAATGGTGCGGAGAGAGTATCTCAGGCCAGGTTTTCCCGCCCTGGATAGCCCGCACTGGGACAGGCTACCAAGTGTCTGAAAGTGAAGTGAAGGTACAGGTTTGAACGAGAGGAAGAACAGAAGAACAGAGGAACTCTGCATGATGACTTGCTTTGCTTTTGGGTGGGTGCCAACACTAGGGAAGAACTGGCCAGTTTAAAACTGATCCTGTATAAAATACGAGAACTTATTTTTCTCCCAAGTAGTTCCTGAACTAATTTATGTTTTAATGTATGTCCCCTCTTGGATAATACAGAATGATTGTTTGGGTCTGCAAGTTTCATCACTGTATTTGATTTTTGATGGCAAACTCAACCTTCTGCTCTTTAATTTCTTGGCAGCATGACCATCGCAGGCTAAAGCGGCTCTTGTCGGTTCCAAGTATCTGAAGTTGCTGGACTTGTTTGGAGTCCCATTGGTGTGACTCAGTTACGATGTCACCCTGTCTCCGTAATGTAGATATTTTAACTTTCTCTGAGCAAAAGGTGAAACTTCTGTACCCTAATGACTCAGGGAAAAAGCCCTATGAATATTTTCAGTAACTAACATCAAAAAAACTATTATTTTGAACTGGAAACATATTCTAATACTGAAGCAGAGAAGAGTTAATATTTACACGTCAGGAGAGAATGAAAGACGAGTGATGATAACGTGCTGATGTATGAAAGACCTTGCATCAGCAGCTGCCATGCTCTGATTGCGTGCTTTTTGATACTATCAAGTAGCATTTTATTTAAGTAAAGAAGGAAGTGTGTACTTTTTATCAATTGCGTTTCTCATAATGCAATAAATAGCATTTCCAATGAAAGTTACTTTTTGTTAAGAGAACCAGGAATTTTGAACAGTGAGACAGTAGCTTCACACAGCAGCACGCCCACGCCCTGGGGCAGGGATACGCTGTCCTACCTGCAGATCCTCCCAGGGCCTGAGGGATTTATCACGGTTGGCTTATGAACGATTGACAGAAACACAACGGCCACTTTTCACCACACAAATGGACAAGGGTGAATACCGGTTTTGTGTGGGTAAAAAACCCTGAACTTGGGAATACCACAGCAAACTAGTCAGAGGGAAGCCTGAGGATGAAATGTTCAAACAGGAGCAAGAACCTCCCCAACTTTCACAACAGGAAAGATATCTTTAAAAGCCAGTTGTGCTACTTTTGTGGCTGCAAAAACGAGGAAACTAGAGGAAGGGTGGAATTTCCTAATGGCGCTTGCTAGGAAAAGCCATGATGAGCATGTGAGGTTCTGCTCCCAAATTTCTAATTTGAAGGGGCAGATTCTAGACCCTGCCTGTTTTGGTGCAGTTTGATCCAAGACAATAGCAGACTTGAAGCAGTTTTAACTACAGTTTTATATTACACAAAGAGCAAAACCTTCTTGTGTCACAACTTCCCGGGTAAATGACTGTCCCTTGCCGCATTTCTAGTGCTCCCTGGAATAACGGACAGTCATAAGTCATGTCCTGGCATGTGAAATGCAGAGCCTGGCAGAAAAGGTTTCTCAAGCAAGAGGCTTGCCGCATGGTCACGCTCAAGTTAACGTGTCCATCATTAAGTTGTGGTAGCGGTATGATTAAGACTAACTGTAGAAACTAAAACTGAGGTAACACTCCAGGCACGACTGATGACCCCTGGCATGTGTAAGAACGGGAAATACTCCAGAGCACTTTGATGAAATGCTGAGAATAAATTCAGACTGCATCTTTACAAAACGGCTTTGTACCGAAAGGTACGGTCCTTTGGCAAATGAACTCTGGGCATCTTGTAAACGCAGGGTAATTTAGGCTGTTTTTAAAATATCTAATCCATAATCAACAGGATTCTGCCACAGTTGCCTTTGAGCAGAGCCTTCCTGACAATTTTTACATGGTTAAATGCCTCAAAGAAAAGTAACGTATGTGAATGCTCTGGATTTAGTTTTAGATTATTCTACAAACCTGAAAATTTTAAAAACAGCTGTTATTTGCATAACATATCAGTGTATTTTTGACTCCTAAAGTAGGCTGGCAGCTGTTAGTCACAAAGTATTTGTGGAAGGAAATCCACATCCAGCTTACTGGCAGCGACTGGCAGGATTTTAAAAATTGAATGGACTTGAAAACTTCAGTGCCGATATTTAGCAGAGCTCCTGTTTAGATTGAGACAGCCTAACCACTGACGGAATGAAGTTAATATGCAAGCTGTACATGCACCTGGGGTTCAGTTACTTCAAAGGAGCTGTAGCAAAAAATGTGTAACATTGTTATGGCACCCATAACATTAAACATTACACAAACGTTAAGTGGATTTTGAAAATATTTCAGAATTCAGAAGCCATCTAGTATTAAAAGGAGATTGGGAATTTATATATATGTATAAAAATAAACTTTAGCTTTCTACAAACATATTCTAGACGATCATAGTTCTTGATCACAGAGCACAGTCAAACTTCACTTTACAGCTGTTCAGTCTACAAGTACTGGAGTAATAATCAAGAATAACTTGATGAAACACGAGTTTATACAATTACTTTATACAAGAACTTTATTTAACAGTAGACTGTCTCAGTAATCAGTTGACAGGAGCAACTAATTTCAGCATGAATTGGGTCAAGTACCTGGTGAGTTCATGACTTGACTTCAGCTTCCTCTACTGGAGGTAGCGTATCCCACACTGGTTCCTGAATGTGTTCAGGTATTTTCTCGATCTTAGTCTAAAAGGAAAGCAAAGCAACCACTTACTATATCGGCTAGTTAACACCTACCGATCTTGCTTTACTTAAGTCTGGTTCGAGATATTTACCAGATTAAAAGTGCCATCTAGTGGCGTTTTCAAGCAACACAGCCTCTTTACCGTGGTAATACTTTGGAAAATGTTCCTTCCAAACTACACACATTTCCTCTGCTGGCTTTCTAAAGACCTCAGTGGTTATTCGCACTCGCATCAGGACTCAGCCTCGTAACAGTTAATAACGTGAGACGGAAACTTACCTTTTTTACTTCCATGGCAACCCCTTCAGGTAAGTTTCGCTGAACGTACTCCAAGTAAACTGCAGCAGTACTGCCTGTTAGGTATTTTAACTGAAACAGAAGTAATGTTTTTTTAATGAACTACTATTATTAATACTTCAAACAGAATACAAAAAAAGGAGTTTGCCCTAGTTTCTCTAGCTCTTGCTATGGGACCAAACATCTGACAGGAAGGCAGCTTCCACAGCAGCGAACAGAGGCAGCTGAGCTGTACGCAGCTCTCACGCGAGCATAAAGTTGTCGTTTCACTCCACTGAACGGCGCATACGGCCTGTGATCACACACGCTGATTATGATGGAAGTGCTGGATCTTAACACTGGAGGTATCAGATGAAATTAATTACAGGTTATGCAAGAATTTCCAGCTTTTGTATACTCCCACAGTTCAAGCTCGTAATAAATCCTGCAACTCCAGAATTCCACTGAGTTACTGACTTTCTCATTTCCCCTGGATGGCAAAAATAGCACCTATGGTCTGCGGGCAGCCACTTGTACTGCGCCAGTGTCTGGGGCCTTAAAGCCAAGTCCCATTTTGTGCAAATACACAGTGAGACGCCCAGAAGCCACGAAATGCTGGCAGTAAACCTTTCTTCTAAGAAAGGCCACCACAGCTGCGTTCTAAACCGTACAGAAGTCTGTGTCATCAGCCATAGAGCCAGTGGTTTGTACACGCTTCCTTTCTTCTGTTTCCCCCATGCGGTGTAATTTACCACACGATGTTGCGCAGGGCAAAAGTACACGTGTTCAAAAACATCAGACAAACTCACAACGAACAGAATCGAACACTTAGCAACTGGTAATGACAATGATTTAGCTGCATCTTCTTCCCTTCCTGAGAAACCTCCTATCCCACGGATCCCTGGAAACCAACAGTGTAAAACACATAAAGATAACCCCCAATTCTATCTTATTTTTGAGTCACTCTTTCAGATGTTAAGATGATGGTCAAAATCTGCCTTTTAATCCAAAAATTATGTAGGCTGTACATTCAGAACAACTCGTGTTTCACTGGATGTACCTAGGTCAGCTGTCTTCCGGTATTCCCTGCACTCTCCTCCCCAACCCAAGTAAACAGGAAACCTGTGTTCACTCCTGAACTAGCATGTTAACAGCTTTGAAATGTGCACCTAGAACATACTTATTTTTTCTTATGTCTTTCTTACCTCCAAACAGATGTAATGTGTTCTCATTTCATACTGAACTCTGTGCTTCTTGTAAATGTGTACAGATTTTAGAAGTGTCAATCGTTCTATCGTCTTTGGAGGTTTATGGCTGAAAAAAGCATAAAAATAAAATTTAATTTTATATAAGGGATGCAAATACAAATTATCCGGAAGATTATGCTGAAATCCCTGTTCTTATTTGACATTTAGAAGATCTACAAGGAAGTATTAAGCACTGATACAGTTCATTATGAAGCCAGATGGGCATGGTTAATGCTCGGGTATTAACAAGCATCAGTTCAGGGAAGCCAGAGCACTGACAACTGCGCTCGGAGCACTGTCAATATCCTTCATGTAGCTAAAATGCACTTCTACTATGGCAGCAGTGCCGAGTGCGGAACTGCTGCTGCTTTCTCATCGCTGTGCTGCCATCTAAGAAGTGTTAGATTTATAATCCAAGAAAAAATGTCAGATTACACCTGTTTCTTCTGAAAAAAAAAAACCTTCCAAGCGCAGAACCTGAATTACAGTAGAAGACATAAGAAGCATCTGACACCACATCACCCTACAGATGAGTTACTTACACTTTTTCAACAGAGATGCCAAGTTCTTTAGCTGCAAGCACTGCAAAATATTCATAGCTGTCCAACACAGCTTTGTCGTGGCCTTTAACTAAAAGGGACAATCTCTTGTACAGTGTTTCTGGCTCATCTGAAATGGATACCTGCGTTTTTAAAGAAAGGACAAGAGTTACCACTCTATGTTCTCCTCAATTAACACACACACACCGCATACTTTCTTAGCCTGTGTGCCCCATTTGTAGAAGAGGACAAAACCCATACACGGTTGGCTGCTTATTTTAGATCTCTGCAAGAGGCTGACAGTATTACTTTGATCGACAGTTCTCCTCTTGTCAGGGAAGGCAAAAGCAGGAAGAGATACCCAACCTCTAAAAAGTTAGGTAAAATTTCTTGATCAGAAAAAGAAAGGGAATGCCAGATAAATATAAGGAGGACAACACTAGTAAAGAAAAGCACGAACCTCACTGTTAAAGCAAGTCTGGAGCAGTGATATTTGTATTTTAAAGAGCAGCGTAAGAATACCTGAAATTCTCAGACTTCACTTGGGTCTGGACAGTAACTAGAACATGATGGACAGTAACAGAACTCTCACTTTACTAAGGCACTTATAAGGGCTACTTGAAACACAGGAGGCTTCTGCGGGCATTTTATCCTTTGTGTTTGTCCAGGTTCAAGGTTATGACTTTCAGTTAGAGCTTCAATTTCTGATGGCCCGGGCTCCCTGATCATCTGAAAAGACAAGATGTCTTCCAGGCAGGACTGATTTTCCCACAGGTTTAGTCCCAGGCACAGTAAATCCAGCATGTGCCAGGCATGGCAGGAAGGCTGGGTCTGCACTGTGGATCTAATACTGCCTGTAACATTTTGGCTTGTTTGCACGTATTATACAGACTGAGCACATGTTTCTGAAGTCCTAGTCCAAATCAATGCACTCAGATTCTAAAAGCAAGATATCCACCACATGCCTTCATGAACTTCCCACCTCATCAGCCCTGGGCTGCCAACTTTCAAGCCAGAGACACAGGCCTTAGCCTGGCTAAGCTGCTGCAGGCGCTGAACTGAACATGTCCGAAAAGCGGGTATTTCATAGAGTTACAGCTGCGTAGAGGAGGAGGCAAGTGACTAAGAGGCAACTGTGAGCTACAGAAATATTGCTGAAAAAAAAATAAATCTCAAATACCAATAGTCTAAAGAGTTTCTTTCTCTATGACAAATCTGTGATCATTAAGGCAGAATATAAAAAAGCTGCAATAATGGAATTCAAGTTTTTCATACATTCTCTTTATTACTAAGACAACATGCAAAACCTCACTGTATGAAACACTTACCAGAGGGTTAGTATTAGGCTCCTGTGTATCAGCATGGGACCCAGCCAGCCGTGCTCCCATCAACTCAGAGTTTCTAGAAATGTGGGAATGGGTAACACATAAAAAGTTGTTAAAGTTAGATTTTTTTAGGCAGTGTGGAGAAGAAATGGAAAGAAGGAGGACTTTTCATACTTACGGAAGAAAACACTGTTTTTGCATAATTCTGCTTGCATAATTGACATGAAAAGCTGATCCCTGCATAAAACAAACAGGTTATGGTGTTTTCTTGTCCCCCCAAACTGGAAAGTAGCCCATTAATACAGGTTTATTAAAGGTTACTTTTTTTGCACACCAGAGCATAACACATTCCTAGGCATTAATCTCCCAAACTAGAAAGTTTGTTCTATTGGAAAATGCAGGAAAACAGGAGCATGGAAACATTATTTTAGTATGCAACAGCACCTAAAAAAAGGAACACATTAAGGAAGCAATATAACAGTATGCACTTACTGTTAACAAGGCACCTGAATAGCAATCACAAAGCATTTTTTTAGCAGAAATATGTGTTTGTGTGGCATCAGATACCATTTCTGTAATTACTTTTTCTTTAGTTTCACTTTCATAGTTCAATATATATTAGTTTCGCTGAGTGACAAGTTTAAGTAGGACTTGCTACTATAAAAGCAACTGAAAACAGTATCCTATAAATGGAAAAATTCAATCTCTGATTTTAAATGGAAGTTTCCTGGATTTTTCAGAAAAAAATTCCTTGTGATTTTGAATGTTTGTTCTTTAAAGAGAACATTTAAATAGAAATACTTCTAACAAGCAAATGAACCATATTTAAAAGACAAGTTTTTTCTGTGTTAAAAAGGGAATACAACTGTTTGTCAAGATGTAACTTTACTGTCTTTCATAGTAGAATAATCGCTCTCTTCTGAACATTACGTGACTTCTAGTTTCCTTCCACGAATTCCTAATTTGGCAAAGTTACAGACTACTTGAGGGGAAAAAAAAAATAAAAAAAGAGGGAACCAGAGCTCTCACTCACTTAAGAGAAACTCACGGCTGCAGCAGAATGCTGAAGCAGAATTAGCTACTTATCCAGCCCTGACACTCTTATTTAACAGGTGCTGAAGTCACAGCTGTAAGAGACGACGGATGCCCCACACATAGGTTATGTAGGTATAATCAAAACATCAGGAAACAGCCAGAATTGACACTTTTCCACGTAATCTTAATTTAGTTGGTCACGGATATGCATAACTAACTATACAATGCTATTAGGTCCCTGACCTTCTCCAGTATGCATTGTATATTAATTATAGATCAGCAGTGAATGAAGCTGTTTCCTGAAGTAAATCTGCCTCATTCACTATTTATTCTACAAATTCTGCATCCGATAAGGCAGATGACGGCAGGAAGAGGCAGGAGAGTTTCCTGTTTACAAAGCTGACTTGTTTGGAGAGCACAGCTGGATGTCTACCCTTAGGCAAGCCTTTCAAATCCAGATGTTCACAGAGGAGCACTGGTGTTACATGCTTAAGTGCATGACACAATAAGCAACTTTAGGAGCACTGATTATTTGCCATTATAGTTGATGACCATTCAGAATGTGTCAACGTTCATGCTGGGAAATATTTGAGCCTTAATACCTAAAATTAAAGAAATACATCTGACAAAATTATCTTGATCTCTGCACCTCAATTCTCTATCTCTGAAGCCAGAACACCGCCTCCCTTTCATTCAATGCCAATATGAAGCACATGAACAAACATCATCACTTCAGGGCCTACGAGCATAAAAGACTGTATTCAGTCCAGGGCTTCAACTGTGTGCAAGTATATGGCACAGAACCTGACCCCAGACAATAAATCTAAGACGGCTGACTAGAATTGTAACGAAAAGTTGTCTCTGTCTTTGGGTTTTTTGTGTGTATGCACTCTCTGCTATGATTTCTTTTACTTCTAACTGCTTGACCTCGTAATATGGATTTGTTATTTGCATACAAAGATAGATACACGCATTGCATAATGTGTCACATGGTTTTGGATACAAAAATTTCAGTCTTCATGTAATAAAGACGACTAAAAACATGATGAAATGACACAGTTCTACCCCAGCCTTTACAATATTTTATGATTGTGCATATTATTCCCACCACAAGCTGTCTCATTTTGTTACTATGCACATACACAGAGTCAAAAGTTTTTGTAAAATAAAGGCGCTCTGTTCAAACTTTGACAAAATAGTAGTAAAGATGGCATTCAGCAGGCAGCAAAGTATATTTTAACAGCTTCCTTCATTCTCTGATTCAAATATACTTAAAGTGACCTTGCTAATGGCCATCATAGAAGGTGGAAGAGACACTCAGACTGCAACATAACCCCATCTCCTGTGTGAACCAAGGCCTTGCACAAAACACAATTACCCCTGTCCTAATGCAAAACAGCTTTCGTTTTGTTTGGCTGAGAGATTCTGAAGTACTCAGGAGGAGACAGAAAGGTAAGCAAGTCCAGAACACATAAAATACACAGAGAAGGAGAGTTCAGGGCTTCAGATAATGAATAGGAAACGCCCAGCATCAAATTTTCTTAGGCTGAGAGAAAGCAATCACTACTTAGAAGTCAAAAATCGGCAGAAAACATCGGTGGTAGGAAAACGTTTTGGTTTTCTACGTTATAAATTCAAGATTTGAAACTTTAAGGCTAGAAACAGGCTTGGCACATGACCTCCGAATCTAAGTCATCTGTTCTTCATCACCTCTTACACCCTGA